TATTATATATAAATATAAATAACAAAAGCTTTGATATTCCGTATATTTTCGGATCTTTTATTTCCGTCTGCAATAATCAGACTTTTCTTTTGATTATCTTCATAAGCAACACTGACAAAGAAATTTCCATTTACACACTATAAAATACGATTTTAAAAAAAATATATATATTACTAGCTTATGGATTTAATCGTTAGATTGTGTAAAGCACCTGCTGTACAAGTCAAACAGCTGTCGGAAACTGAACGAAAAACGAGTACAAGAATCGCTATTGTGAAAAAAAAATCGGATAAATCAAATAGTTTATACAAGCTCAACTGATAATGGGGGGAAATTCCCGCATTACCCCGAGCTCATATCGGTCAATAAGCTAACACACATACAGGCGCAGAGAGCCAGCAGGCGAACAGGAAGCCACATGAGCGGAAAATTGGAAAAAAACTCTAGAAAAATACAACAGCAGAGCAAGAGAAAGGGGAGAGAGAGAGAGAGAGAAAATATATAAAAATTGTGACTGGGAAATGTAAAGTGAAAAGCATACAAAATGCTGGGCAATTGCGTTTGGCTAGCAGCCGGTTAGGGCGGATTCGGTGGGGATGTAAAGTGAAATGTTAGACAAAGTGGCAGCCATACACACACGCACACACACATACACTCCCACACACACTTGTAGCGGCGCACATGCAAAGCGCTTGTTGTAAACTTATACTTGAAGCAAAAAGAAAAAAAAAAAAAAAAAAAAAGAAAAGAAGAGGATGGCAGGCAACAGTATAGCACACATGAAGACGCACAATTACATCTGTATGCGTGTGTGTGTGTGTGGGCTTAAAAGGATATATGCGAGGACCAAGTGTAAAGTGGGGTACAACAATTGCAAACGCCGTGGCAACAGCACAAAATAAAACAGAAAATACTCTGCAAAACTGTCACAATGTGCAGTCGTGTGTGTAAACAATTGTAATCCGGTAGAAAAATCACAGACAGAGCAGAGGGAACCCTAAACCGAACCGAACTGAACCTAACCTAACAAAATGGAGAATAGGCACAGTGAAATGCGAAAAGGACTAGAATGAACGCCCACAGTAGACATGGTTAAGGATTTAGTTGGAAAGGCAATATAAATATGGAAATATGTGAAGCACTAAGCAGCTGAAGGATATTATATCTTAATGCTTGAGTAATAATAAATAAAAAAACATTAATTTTGAAAAATTAATATAAATGTAAAAAAAAAAAAAATGTATATATAAAGCTCTACATAATAGAAAAGTGTTTTAGGAACTAGATCACCAATAACTTACATTCACAAATCTACATAAGGAATCTTATATGTGCATATAATATTTTCCATATATTACATCAAATATATTTTACTCTGCATTCATTTGAAACTGATCAAAAATATTTATTAAAATAGAAGCATAATTTAAATTTAAATTTAATTTATTTGTTTGGATTCTTTGTTGAAACTGCAGCATAAATTTTATAAATTTCCTTGAGTATGGTTTAATTAAACATGACATCAAAAATAAACTACTCAAGCTTTTAATGTAGAATTAGTTGCGCGTCGGCTTCATCAAGAGCTTTATATACTCTGTCACAAAGTTAAAAGAGTATATTACTTAATCAGCTTACTGTCATTCTTTTTCCGTCTGTATAAAAGTAAAACCTCTCTTTTGGCTATCGAAGTGAGAAACTAGAATTTTTAGACAGATACCCTTAACCTATAAATTATTTGTTTAACTAGAGTTGTAGAATAAGCCCACTTTGGATGTGGCAAATAATTGAAATAATATAGCATTAACGCAAATTAAAGGCAAAAATAAATACTGGAATAGTAATCGCCCATTTATAGATTATTAGTTATTATCCCATTAGGGGCTTATTAATAATTGAGTAAACTTAATTGTTCTTTGACCATGAGCGAGTATTATGCAGTTGATCGCACACGACAGCAACTATCTAACTTATTCTGAATAAACTTGATTCATGATTAAGACAGATTCATAGCCTACGGCTATGCAGTCTAGTCTGGTAATAAAAAAATGTAAATTAAGATAATTTATTGTTTTTTTAAGTATTTAAATTAAATGTATTTATGTGAAACTATAAAAAATTGATCATAAGCTTAGTGAAGTCAATTATGAAAGCTAGACTAGGCCGTCAAAATTTGAATTTATTTATGAAGTAGTGCAATAAAATTGGTGCCGCTCTATGCGATTCTCAAAGCTGCAAGTCTAAAGAAAATCAAGAAAGAATTAAGCATAGAAGCGAGTTTTAAATATATACGAAGTTAATAGGAAATATAAAGCGGAATATTTGCATATTTCATGGTTGTCTATATATATATTATATAAACATAATTTGTGTGTCAGCTGACAAGCTGACTGTACTTAAAATGATTATAAAATAAATGAGATTGCCTCCAAAAACCCTGAATATGAACAGCTGTGCACTTTCAGCGCTTTCATCTTGAATACACAACTGCATTTATCTTATTCATAACCTTTTCTTTATCTCTTTCTCTTTGCAGGTGAGTAAGACAATAAAAGTTTCCATTGAAAATGTTCAAAAGGCACGCAATGAAATCACATGGAAAATATAATCTGTGAAATATCAAAAATCATAATAATGAATAAATAAATAAATAAGAAAACAACAGAATACGAAATAAATTTGCACATTTAACTCAGTCATCGTCACCTTTATGGCTTGTAAACAAAATGCGAAGTGCACTGAAACAACAACAAGTGAAGCAAACTCAACAACAACAACAACAACAACAACAACGACAACGACAGCAACAAAATTATTCTGAAGGTTAGCTTATAAATTTCATTTACTCATAAATAAAATTTTTGCAGTGCGTTTTCATTGAAACACAGCCAAAAGACTGTGAACAAAATAAGTATTTTTTTAATTAAATTTAATTGTTTAAATTATTGAGCAATACAAAAAATGCAAATTTGAAATTATTTTTTTTTGCCAAAATTGGGGTTAAAAAAATCATATATAATAATAAATTCATATAAATTCACACGTTCTAAGTGCTCCCACTCACAAGCCACGCCTCCACACACACACACAGACACGCCCACGAGCCACTTGGCAACAACAATTGCCATTTGTGTTTGATAAGCTAGAAAACAAAAACAAAAATCAACTTCCCCGCTCGCATAGCCTTAGCCCAGTTACGAAACTAGCGAGTCGGTTGTATTCGGTGTGACCGTATTCTATGCACACACAAAACAGCTGTTCCCCACTTGAGTCTAACCTTAGCCAAAGCAACAGCAAACACAGCAACAACAACAACGGCAAGAGAGTGCCGCAAAATGCTAAATCGACTCTGACCCACTGACATTATTTCGCTATATAGCAGCTATAGACGATGACGACGACTGCAGCTACTTAGACAGCAACAACAACAACTACAACAACAACAACAACTACAACAACAACAACAACAACGACAACGACAGCTAAGCAAAGTGCAATTTGTCAGCAGGTGGATTTCTGGGGCCGGTTATACAATGTCACACAATAAATACATGTAAAATATACATATAGCATATATGTATGTATATGAATTTATAGCGAGAGAGGTCTAGAGAAAAGCAGCTGGCGAGCCGCGTAGAGACTGAGCGCTTCATTCAAATGCCGGAAAGAGAACGACCCTGTTCGTCTATTACATTTATTTAAATTAGCTGTTAGTAACTACAGATCGCGTGCATACCCTATAAATTATATAGATATTGGGTTAGGGTAACTATGAGAAGCTCTAGAGATTCTGAAATTATAGCTATAGAAATAGCTAATGCTTTAGAAGATTAATAATATATATGAATAAATAAAAAATAATAATAATAACAAAAAACTTGTGACATTCAATCGAGGTATTATAAATAGCTAAATTTATTTTATGTTTATATTTTAAAATTTTTTCTTTCTTACATTAGATAATATACGTCCATGAAACATTTTGATGATCTAGCATATTTAACATATATTCCAGTTTACATGTGGTAATATACGGGCAGTTTTAAGTTAACATTGAATTATATTAAATATTATTCAATAAAACTATAATTAACATTGTGGTTCATATATAAACACATAAAATAATTTTTTAATTTAATAATCTAAAAAAAATGAATTTTAAATGCTATCTGATATCTGATCCTATGCATGTTACTTAATATATTCACTGTTATCAACATTAACCACATTCTGCACTTATATGTCGCTTGAACACAATAATATATGATTCAGTACATTAAGTGCACAATTCACAATCTGTAATTTTTAAATAAAGATGCTATATATCATATAGTATATTATATTTTTTACATACAACAGTTAATGACTACTTAAATTGGGTGTTTAGCAGCTGAATAGTTAAGATCTCGTTATTAAACAAATACAGTCTCGATAAATCGTACCCCGCTAAATCAAAAATCGCGATAAAAAAAATCGTTCTCAATAATTTTCGTTAACTTGAATTTCTGTGTAGTTAAAAAACAGCAAAAAAAAAAAAACTGATCCTTTGCCATTTCGAATTATAAGTATTCTACTGTATTTAAAAAACGATTGTATAATTGAAATTGAAATAAAATTGCTTTTATATCATTATCTATTGCAATTTAAAAGGTATCAAATTATTTAAGCTTCATATAATTGAGCTTTTTAATTGAAATAAGTTTTGTAAATTAAAAACTGAAAAACTTTTCCATCCTTTCAGTTCTGCCAGCATTCTGTCTGCCATTTTTTCATACATTTGTTAATTTATTTCATATATCGGCTTTTTTGTATTTTATTTTACTAAATTTTTTTTCTTTTTGCGATAAATGAAAAGTGAAAACTGTCAACGCATGGCTCGGCAATTAGTTTGTGAAAGCGAAGCAAAAGCATTTGCTGTACACCCTCTCTCGCACTCGCTCTCTCTCTCTCCCTCACCCTCACTTAGCCTTATTTTCATTGGTTTCTGTCTATCTCGCTCGCACTCTCTGTTGAATTGGAACAATAAAAACCACAATAAGTGCAAAATTATGTGAAGCATATATCAATGTCAATTAATTGCAACGGATTCATGTTAAATCAGAAATACTATAAAAAAAAAAAAGATATTTTGTTTGTTGAGCTCATAAAAACGGAATTAATTTATAAATCCGCAAAAGACGATTTTAAATAAGACAAATTGCATTCTGCATAAAAAAAAGAAATATGTTATAGAAGCCATTTTCTACAGATTTTTATATTTTTTTTTATTTTTATACTAAAGCAAAATAATAATATTTAGCTAAAAATAAAAAAAAATTAACAAATAAATACTATAAATAAAATAAAGAAAATAAAAAATAAGTAAATGCTTTAAGTATTTATATTAATAATCACTTCCACTAAAAAAAAATTAATTCTAAAAATTACTTATTTATGTTTCACATAAAATTA